TCGGTGGAGAAAAAGGGAAACAGATTTTCTATCCGCCCTTTCTCAGCGTGGTCGGGTCACGGTGTGGCTCGGGTGCAGTGATCTACTGCTGCCGTCTCGTGCGCTGGTGTTTTTGGACTTCTCCTTTTCGGTGCCTGTGGCTGCACTATGGTATCAAAAAATATATATATATTTTTTTTTTGGGGGTGAGGGGGGGGGGTTGGGGGGGGGGGGAGGGGCTTTTTTGTGCGGAAAATAGGTTGTCCCAAATTGGTTAAAAGAAAAGGCAAAAATATTGAAAATAAATAAATAAATAAATAAAGGAGTGGTGCATGTAGAGCTTGGGCAAATTAACATGCAAACTTTTGGCGACTGTAAACCTTTACTACCTCGTATGGCTATTTAAAAGACATTTGGTTCGTCCCAAAGTTGTTGGCGTTCAACCACAATAGCTATTTTCCGATTTTTTTTTCTTTTTAAGAAGTACGTTTTTGCATTGCGGATACTTTAGTGCAATCTCAGCATCATTAGTAACATGTATAGAAAAAATGGGACATTATAACTGTCTTACTGGCTTTCACGAAGACTTTAAATAATACAAGAAAGAAACAGGAAAAAAAGTGAAAAAGAAGAAACACTGGTTTCTACTGCGACGCCACGCCTTTAAATTCCCTCCCGCTATTTCCAGTACAAGATTGGTTGATGTTACTGTTACTGGGAGTGAGACTGGACAGTGCCTTGGGGTTTATGGAATCTAAACAATGTATCAACAGAGTGACATCTATTAAAATGACGTTTAACCGCCAATATGTGTGATTATCTCCTGATGTAGCAACGCCCTTCTAACCTGATGTAAATGCAACCGATTGAAGGATGAAAACTTTTGAAGAGCGTGATGAAAACATCAATATTTTTTATAAATAAGGAAGTTCCTGTCAGATAGTCTAATTCAAAAACTGCGGTTTGAGGTTTAATCATCATACATAGCGTGATTCCCACCGGTCGAAATATTCCCTAAACATAACACTAGAAGTAACTTTCATCCCTTCAGGGGAAGCATTTTTTTTACTAGGCAAATAATAAATATTTATTAAATATAAAGCGCACATTGAAACGATAGTAAACGACCAATGCCATTAGATCCGATCTGTAAAACTCGAGTATCAACTTTTCAAGGATATCTGCAATCACATAGAAGTGCGGAACGACACGTCCTAACTTCGGAGACACCCTTAGGGCCACCGGAATTAAAAATTATAATGTATGAAAATATCCGACAATTGAAGTTTCACCGGAATAATGTCCAGTTGCAAGAGGCTCGGGGCTTGTGACATGTAGTTCGTGCTCAGATAAAAACGCCCGCCTGAGTGCACAACGCAGCAACGAAGATATAAAATAGAATAGAATGAAACGCTTACAACCTTGACTATGCTCCAAATAGTGTAGGCAAATCAAAGAAAATGTGTCGAATATTTCTTTGGTTTCTTCCCCAGCTTCCTTTTGAAGTGAATAAGGAACATTTTTGTCCTTCCACGAGCGGTGGCACAAAAACACAGGTAAGCAGAAGTGTCACTTTCGAACAATATTCGTTTTGAATATTCTGTACGTCTTAGAGACTGTCTTTGGCTACCCATCTGCCCCCTCATACTTTTCTTTCTGTTCCTTTTATTTTCTTCTTGTCCAATGGTTCCGTAGTATGCCTCCCTTCTCTTGTCCAAATATTTTGACGCAAGTTTTAAACAAGTGCGCTTTCTTTATTTGAACTTTCATCCTCCTCCTCCTAACACGATCCAAAGGTTTTTTTTTTTCTTTCTGTTTTTCTCTGAGTATTAAAGAACTGTCAAGAAAACTGCTATAGTGGCGGAAAGTGCTCAGTCGGGGTACTAACCAAAGTGATTAATTTTGATGCCCGCCAGTACTCTCTAGAGAGCGGACACGCTTGACATCGGCTCCGTCAATTTGGAAGGTTTTTTGACCAGAAATGCTTTTGGACCTGTGAAAAGTGTGTCATCGGACGTATAAGAACTACCCGATCATCCGGACACACCTTGCAGGTCAATGTAGCATTTTTTGGCCATTTCAGGCCCATTTCATGAACCGGCCACGCCGGAGGGGAACTAGGCCTAATGGGGATTAGCCTGTCCTCATGCATTAAGACATGACCTCCGACTTTCAAGCGTAAGGAGGGCTAAGTCTACAAAGAAAAGCATGAATTCCAAGCAAATTTATGCCAAGGGAGGAAGCATTGTTCAGGGTTATCACCCCGACAAAATGGAATTTGCTTCGATTTTACCAGCAAGTGTAGCGCTTCCTGAAGAAATCCATCAAGATTCCCATAATTTTGGGCAAGGAAGGATGGATACCGAAGGAAGTTCAGCGAACGCCATTCCGGAAAAGCGTCATAATTCAGCAGCGACGTCTGGTAACGACTGGATCGAGGTTGTCTATTCCGACAAGAAAGTAAAGTCACCGCCACCTGATTCGATCCTGCGAGAACGTCCTGGAACTATCGAGAAAACCCAACAACGAGCGCCGTCTCTTAGATCTCAGATTCGGCTGCCGAGTTTGCAAGAATTTGATCACAAGGTGGTCATAAAGCCCAAGCAACCGATCGATCTCAAAGAGTACCGCATGTTCATCGGAGGAGCGGTTCAAAGAGCACTTAGCGAGGGGAACAGCGAATCGAGAGTGATTGTGAGACTCTTAGAAGCTCAAAATCTCATCATGGCTGCAACCAATGACTGGGAAGAAGCAAAGAAGATCGCCAACGTCCAGCAACTCAAGATCCAAAACAATGTGTTGCTTCAAGTAGAAGCCCATCACGTGGTTCCTCAAGAATCCACGTGCAGAGGCGTCATCTTCGGTGTGGAAATGTTTATCACGGACGAAGAAATCTCTAGATTCACGCGAGCTCCACCTGGATACGAGATTCTCAACGCCAGAAGAATGGGCAAGTCAAAAGCTGTTGTCATCACCTTCAAGGGTAACGAAGTGCCAAGATCCATCGAATTCGACTGGAACCAAATACCTTGCTTCATGTATAAGAAGACCAAGGCGGCTTGCCTGAACTGCGGCGAAGTCGGACACAGAGCTGGGTCCTGTCCCAAACCGAGAGGGTACGCATGCAACATGTGTGGCACTCCAAACACTGGGGGATCACACGAGTGCACACCCAAATGCGCTCTGTGTGGCGGACCTCACCGCACCTACGACAAGACCGGCAAGGAAAAGTTCTACACCCCAACCACCAACCCCGTTTCGTCCACTGCGATGGGGCAAAGGAGGGGAAGAAGAACAGAGAAAAAACCACAACCATCGGCGGGAAGGGGTCAGTCTTGTTCCCAGTCGAGAATCCGTTCCACGAGTAGGACCAGAACTAACGCGTGGAGCAAACCTCTGAATAGACCCCGAAGCAGCTCCAGGTCTAGACAGAGAGCTCTGACCACCGACCATGAGGTGGGGGAGGCTGAGGTTGCCACCATTAAGCCTCGACAGAAAAAGAACAAAAAGAAGGCGGCAAAAAAGGTCAAAAGGATCAGTTACAATGACGACGACCTTTCCTCCCTTACTGGCGGTGGTAAACAAAGCATAAGAGAAGAGGTTCGTCAACTCAAAGAGGAATTTCTCGAATTCAAGAAAGAAACTGAAAAGAAGAGCATGTTGGAGAGCAACGCTTACAAGAAGGCAATCATGGACCTTAAGACAGAACTTGCTCAAAAGTTTGAAGGAGTGGATCGCAAGAATTGCATCATCCAGGAGCACTTAACTGCAATAGAGGAAAGGCTCGAAAGCTGGGACGCAATGATCAAGAACATTTTCCAATCTCAGACCCTTAAACGGAAAAAGCCGGAGGCGAAGAAAATGAGTCGAGTGACTCAACTCACTAGACCTCCATGGCTACGCAACTAAAGATTTGGCAATGGAACTGCAGGAGCCTCCGCCGCAAGCAATCCAGCCTCAGCTTGCTGGTGACGGAAAAGCAACCTGCGGTCATCATGCTTCAAAAACAAGGTATAAATTCGGCTAAATTAAAGGACTACACCACATTTGAAGAAGATTCCTACGTTTGCATTATGGTTCATAAGAAATTTACTGCAACGAAACACGCGCTTCCAACCAAGACACCTCACAATTGCATGGTTACCTTGATTCCACAAGGAAAGCAGAAGAATGCCTTCCACGTACTGAACGTCTACAGCAATCCAAAATCGCCAAGAGACTGCGTGCAAAAGCTCTTCAAAGAGGCCCTCAAGATTTCCGGGCATGATCCGATAATCCTTGGTGGAGATTTCAACGTGGCACACACTCTCTGGGGGTATCGTTACACGACACCCAAGGGCAAGAGGATATTCAATATCATGTGTCAAGAAGGACTGACCCTTTTGACGGACCCCACCACACCAACGAGGACGGGCACGAGCTCGTGTAGGGACACCTGCCCGGACCTTACTTTTGTCTAGAACGTCAAAGACGCGAAGTGGGAGAATACCAACGAAAATCTCGGCAGCGACCACTTTATCCTAAACACGACGGCCATCTGCACCTCAGTCAAGTCCAGGAAGCTCGGTCAAGTTAAGATCATAGAGTGGGACAAGTGGCGCGAGCACAGAGGTGTCTCTATTAGCACCATCGAGGACATCGAGTATTGGACCAGGGAAGCCGTCAGCAGCACGGCAGCCTACACCAAGGTCCTCACGGTAGACGAGGAGACACCTTGTGTAGATCCGCATCTCCTTCATCTGTGGGACGCCAGACGGTCACTCACCAAGAGGTGGAAGAATCAACGCCTCAACAGGAAGCTAAAGATAAAAATCCAGGAGATTAGCCACGGGGCAGAGGAATACGCCGAGGAGCTGACCAGGCAAAACTGGTACAACCTGTGCGACAGCATCTAAGGTCGACTCAGCTCGGCGAGCACGTGGAAACTCCTCAGGGAATTACTGGACCCCAACAACACCAGAACGGGCATGTGTAAACGAATCTCCGAACTCGTGTTTAAGAGCCCTCTCACCACACACGAAATGTTTGACAAGTTGGCGAGCAAATACTTGTGCATCGAACCGTCTGAAGCACAAAAGGACTACCATGGGCGAGCCAACCCTGCACTGGACGAGCCCATCACCGTCTGGGAGCTGGAATACGAGTTGACCAAGATGAAGAAAACGGCGGCACCGGGCCCCGACTCCATCACGGCCAAACTGCTCTACAACATGAACGACGAATCTATCAAGAAACTAGTAGACCATTTCAGCGACAACTACTGGTCTAAAGGCGAGTGCCCCAAGCCTTGGAAGGAGGCTGACGTCAGACGCATACCCAAACCCAAAAAGGACCTATAAGTTTCGACAACCTTCGACCAATATCTCTGACCTCGTGCATTGGCAAAGCCTTCGAACGCATCATCAACTCGAGGCTGGTGGCGCACGTGGAGAAGCAAGGACTGTTGTCACACACGCAGTTTGGCTTTCGTCCGCACGTCTCCTCCCAAGACATACTACTGTGGCTCTACAAGGTCCTTCTGGAGAGACCATCAAGGGTGCAGACCAGAGCAGTCCTTGCCCTGGACCTCAAAGGCGCTTTCGATAACGTCACTCACGAGAGCGTCCTGCAAGGTCTGGCGAGCATCGACTGTGGCCAGAAGACCTACGACTACGTCAAGAGCTTCTTGACGGACAGGACCGTTATCCTGAACATCGGGAGTCACACATCGGACCTGTACCAGCTAGGGCCCAGGGGTGCTCCTCAGGGTGCAGTTCTGTCGCCACTACTCTTTAATCTCGCACTCAAGGGACTACCAGAGGTCCTTAACAACATTCCCGGCATCGAACACGCCATCTACGCCGACGACATCAACATCTGGTGCAAGTCTGGAAGCGACGCCCAAGTCGAAGAAAGCCTCCAGAGGGCAGCGAATGCCGTGGCCTCGTACGCTAAAGACTGCGGCCTTCAATGCTCTCCCCAAAAGTCATAACTTCTGGTGTTCAAGAACCCGTACAGCAGACAACCACCTGTGGACCTGAACATCTACATCGACGGACAAGAAGTACCCAGGCCGAAGGAGGTGAGGATTCTCGGCCAGATCCTCACCCAGTCGGGAAGAAATCTTAGCACCATCAACAAGCTCACCACTACCACGACGCACGTCGTCGGGATGCTGAGGAGAATCAGGAACCAGCGGTCCGGACTTAAAGAGAAGGAGGCTATACAGCTGGTATATGCCTTTGTGGTATCTCGGGTCATGTACGCCACCCCGTACCTGAGACTCGCCGAGACCGAAGTCAACAAACTCAATGTCATCATTCGAAGAGCTTTCAAGTGCGCCCTTGGACTACCAGAGTACGTGGCCACGGAGGACCTGCTCAGCACGGGCCTCTACAACACCATCGAGGAACTCTGGGAAGCCCAGCGTATATCACAAATCAAGCGCCTCAGCGAAACACCGAACGGAAGATGGCTCCTGGAGCGGCTGCAATTGGCCACACCAGGTGGCATATTACACCAAGAACCCAAACAAGAATTAACACCAATTGTACGAGGCAAGATCACGGTCGAGAAGATCCCAAGGAACATGAACTCGGAAAGGAACGCCAACAGAAGAAGAGTTCGTGCACAGATCATATCCAGGATATGGAGCAAGAAGCCCGGAACCCTGTACGCCGACGCGGCCATCCTACCAAGAGGCAACACCGCCACCCTGGCCGTGGCCGATCCTCGTGGCAACGTGGTGAGGACGGCGTCGGTCTACACGACTCTCACAGAACACGCAGAAGAAGCCGCAATTGCTCTGGTTGCCACAGGTACCAAACAAGACCACATCACCGTCATCACAGACTCGCAACGGGCGTGCCACAACTTCGCCAAGGGTGAAATAGGCGAACAGGCGGCGAGAATCCTCTCCAAGGCGCAGTTTACGAGCATGAAGATCGTCTGGGCAAAAGGTCACGCGGGTGTCGAGGGAAACGAAGCGGCAAACGCCGCAGCCCGAGCCTTTCATTCGAACCGGGACTCGTCCGCACCTCAACCACACTCCCCTGACCCCAACATGAAGTACAACGGATACTTGAAGACAATCAGGGAAGCCAGGATGACTCTTCCAGCGCCACCTTCGAAGTTCACCAAGGAGGAGGAGCACCTCTATAGAAGTCTGCAGACAGGAACCATGAAGACGCCAGTGAAGCTCCATCAATGGTACCCCCAACTCCATCCTTCACCAACTTGCTCCTTTTGCGGGTGGAAATGGGGGAACCTGTACCACTCAATGTGGGTGTGCAAGGACATTAAAGGTTTGGATCCGATTCCGAACCCGACGAGGGACAGCTGGAACGCGGCCCTCCGCTGGAGCAATCCGGGAAGCCAACACTGGTTAGTACGGAGAGCGACGGTGGTGCAAGCCGCGATTGGAGCCCCGGACTAGGGGCACCCAGCCAGAAATGATTCCTCGATCAAGATTACCTATTTTTTTTCTGGTACTCCTATCCCCTTCTTTTCATAAAATAAAAGATGTTTTCAACAACAACAACAGTACTCTCTAGAAATAAAATGCGGAAACGCGCCGAAATCGCGTTCGCGCTAACAGCGTCGCACATTGTGCATCTTTGTCAGACACACCCACGTACTGGCCCAGAACAACAAAGAGCTCTATTGCGTTTGACGCAAATACTTTCTGAAGCTCTACTCGCTTTGAACATGTTGCCATTATAAAACTAAAGAATTGCAAGCCCGCTGCAGGAAGCGAGCTTTCTGAGGTGAGTGCATTTCACTGGTCTTCTCCGCCTATCCCTCGCAGACGATCAGGCTGCTTCGACTAAGCTTGGTTCGGTACGAACGGCTCTTGGAAAAACGGCTGCTTATTATATTGCAGTGATTTTTATTCAAATTGCCTCACTTTGTACAAAGGGTAAAAAAAAACAAAAAGTGAAGAGTAGCTTGCATGCAAAGTTCGAAGCACGAATGTCCGGGTGACTCATAACGCAATTTAAGCAAACAGTCCTGTGCTAATGGGCCTCAGGCAGCTGTCATCTGAGATTTTTTTTTATAAATTTTTTATTAGATTTTTGTTTTTGTACAAAAACAGGAAAGAAGCCTTGACAGCACAGTCTTAGATAGGTATGTCACTTGATTGAGATGCATCTTGCTGCTCAGGTGGAATCAGGCTTGTACACGTTACTGAAATAAAGTAACCGATTACAATTGCAATTATTTCACTGTAAAAAGTAACCGATTACAATTACAATTAAAGCATCAAAAAGTATTTAAAAAATTACTCTAACGTAGTCGATTACTTCCCACGTTACTCTTTATTCACCCTTTTTATTACAGTAGCGTAATCCATGGGGTCTCGCGTTCAGTTGTTCCGAAAAAGAAAAAAAAAAGGAGAGAGAAAAAGCCTTGATTGTTTTTGCTTAGAGCTGAGTGAGGGACGCCAACACACCCAATTCCTTTCGTGAAAAAAATAAATAAATAAAAAGAGCACTGTTTAAATACATTACTCACAAGAAGCTGGATAAGGTCATTTTCCATACCCCCGGACGTAGTCTCCAGTGTACCAAACAAAAAAAAACAAAAAAGTTCCCAGGAAATGAAGCATAGTGAAGTGGCCTACTAATCGTCGAGGTGCCGTGCTTCGTGGTTTCGGAAAAGAAAATAAAAAATTGGCCGTTACTTAGAGCTGAATGACTCCAGCACATCCAACCCCTCCCCCCCCCCCCTCTTCCAAAAAAAAAAAATTAGAAAAACGTATTGGTAATTTTGTAATCGATTACGGCAACAAAGTAATTCAATTACAAGAATCGTTACTTTTTAAATCAAGTAATTAAAGCGTTACAAAATTGCAGTAAAATGTAATCGATTACAAGTAATTCATTACTTCTAACGCGTTACGTACAAGTCTGGGTAGAAGGAATGATGACGCAAACATCCTTAGTGTTTGCAGTTTAGAGAGTCATTGATTTTATATCAAGCCATTCTCGTAACTCACCGTCAGATTCATTTGTCTGCATCAACCATTTACAGAGATAACATCGACGGCTAGCTGCCTTGAGAATCGTCATGGGGAAATCCTTGCTGAACTTCGCTGCAAGCTTCATCTGACCAGCAATGCAGTTGTCAAGCTATCACGAGTGGTGGTGCTATGTTTGAATCTATCCTGTTTCTGTCCAGTCCCGAGCGTCTTGTATGCAGTAGTAAATAAATCGATGAAATGCTTTGGCATTTATACCAGTCTTTTGAATGCTCAAACAGCGTAAACAAAGACATGCCAGCGGCTTAATGGGATGAGAGAAATAAGCGATTAAGCTCTAAGCGATAAAGTTCGCCACTGCAATGGGAATACGGTACAGACCCCCCCGTAGTCGAGGGAATTATTGTTATTTCTGGATATTTAGACAGTGATAGGTGACTCGTCTCAAAATCAGATATTTTACCAGTGAGGCATGACTACTCACCTCGATGTCTTTAACGTGAACCACGGAGTAATGATTAGACGAGTGCAGCTAGACTGCATTGTAAATGGTATCGCAAATGATATAACGCGGCTATCCACAGCGCCACACATTTACTTGAAAGACCATTTGACAACGCCTGCGACGTGGTATGCGTACAGTTATTGTACAATGTACTATGCAAGGCCCCAAAACGGTGACACCGATATGGATGAATTTGAGCGCCATGGTGCGGAGCTTGGGAATTTCGGTACACTGGAAACCTATTCAGTGACTCTATACACTGGTCCAACGGGCTCCTAGCTTCCACCGCAGACTCAGCTTAGGCGTGAACGGAGCGTAAAAATGTCTTATTTTGCTCAACAGACAAGGGTCACTCTAAGTCACTGAGATGGTGAGAAGGACAGAGCGTATCTTTCAAATTCCGTTTCTAACGCGCGCGCGTTGCCTTCCGCCTCGCTTTGGCCGCGCGTGCACGCTCGAGGCTCACGAGACGCCGAAGCGATGTCGAAGGCAGGAAGTTCGCACTGGAGGTGAGATCTCTCACTCCTCCCCTCCATTATCACCCAGTAATTGAATATTAGTGTTGAGATGTTTCGTTTGAGCGCTCTTAAACCGGGTTCACACTGCTCACACTCTCATACAAAAGACAGTCTGCAAAAACGAGTCACCGCAATAACCGTGGTTCGAACGCCGCGTGCCAATTTTCCCCCTTGAACTCATTGCAATGCGGCATTCGAAGCACCCGGTACGTCGCGGTGACCCCGGCTTTATGGTTTCCATCCGTGAAGTCACGGCCAGGATTTGCCTTGCCGTGACGTCAAGAGTCGTTACCCTCGCAACTCATCGTCAGTGTCGGCGAGAGGTTTGATGCTGCGCTTAAAAAGCACATATCACGTTATGAGCTAAAACCGTCGAAGTTGACAGTCTAGACCAGTGGTGGGTAAGCTGCGGCTCTTCGCGTGTCAAAGTGCGGCTCGCTTCTCCCTCCCCCCCTCCCCCCCCCCCCCCCTCCCCAGCAGAATCCCCCACCTCCCTCCCGGTCACACGAGCACTTCCCCAAAGAGAGAAATGGAACGCGTTTTAAATCGAAAGACAGCTTGCTGTTAGGTAGTGTTGTGCTACTGCTACCTTACGTTCAGTTGGACTGCTTTTGACTCGGATAGATTGAAAGTAGTTCGAGCTGTTTAATGCTCTGGGCAAAAAATTGCCCCCCTCTCTCTCCCCCCCCCCCCCCCCCCCCCCCCCCCCCCCCCGTGGCTCTTTGAAGTTTAGTGGTTTTGTTTGCGGCTCTTAGGCCGGGTCAGCCTGGCCACCCCTAGTCTAGACAATGCTCTTAAGCTCGTGGTTCAATCATGGCGATCCAGGAAAGCCAACCGCAGCGACGCTCTCGGTTACGCACGTCGCTAATAGGAAAGGTCAGACACTTGTCATTGGTCCCAAAAGCACGCAGATCAGTTTAGCCCCTACGGAACCACGTATACCACCCAGCTAATGCGCTCGCCTTCACCAGAGGCGTTCTGCTCCTTACATATGCACGCCTCGTCGTCCTTGAGCGGAACCGAGGCTCGCTATCTGCTTTCTCACGTCTCTTAACTGGGCTCGTCGCGAGAGACTCCGCCAAAACGTGGAACTCTGACAACGAAGCTCCGCGTCACACTCAAGTGCACCCCGGTATCGCGTCGTCGGAAAACTTTGTCGTCTTCTCCTCCCACACGCGTCGACGAGGGCGACGTGTCGAGTACTTCGAGTACACGGCGCGTCAATCATTTGCCGCGACGAGCTCTGTGCCGCGCCGTGCCTTGACCGTGCGTCCCCCGTTATCGTCGCTCGTTGCTTTCTATCTAACCAGGCGCGATGCTCTGTATACGCCGCTCCACGTAAGATGAACCGCTGCGGACGCCTACCAGCCACCGGAGCCAATCCAGGGTCTGGAGCTTGACCCTCGCGCTTCCGGTTATAGGCAGAGAGGCGCGCGTGCGTAAAGGCACGTGGCAAGCGTAGATCGCCGGATTGGCTGAGATGGTTCCTCGCTTCCCCTGCAGTCCATCTCGTGGCGTAACGAAGTATGGGTTTCAGAGCCGGCGGTGTCCGTAGGAAACCCCTTTGTCTGTCGGTGGAGGGGTTGCGGACACGACTCGATCGTCCAACGGGCCTGAGATAGCTCTATAGACTTTCAGCGACGACCTCTTCGCTCTCCGGATCGTGGGAAGCGGCCGCTAAGCACGACCCCGAGGGAAGAGTCTACAGCGCCGATAGCGCGCGTGTCTGGATTTGACTTTCTCCCCGTGTTTACGCGTGGATTTAGATTGGGAATTTCTGTATCTGTCGGAGATCGCGTGCAATGCTGGCGATGTCATAGAAACGGCGAAGGGAGAGGGTTTGAAGGGAATTTCAGAAAAACGGTGGTCATCAAAATCATCGAAGGCCATCGGAGGTGAACGATAGATCAGAGAATCTCAGGCAGCCTTTTGAGACACTTCAAAACAGATGTGTTTCATGTTTACAACTTTACTGGCCGGAAAAGTCAAGTGATTCCCCTTTTTCTTTTCTTCAATATTTATTCTGCAATTGCGTTCCACCAATCGTATTGAGTAAAATATACAAACGAAAGAAGCTAGAAGACCGAGCATTATAATTCTGCATTCGCGCCAGACTTTATAAACATCATTTGAAAAATGTACTTTCTCAATCTAGGCTCACGGATTATATCACGTATTAAAAAAAAAAAAAAAAAAAAAAACGAGACAAAAGAAGAAAAAAAGAAAAAACGAAGAGCACTGCCTGACAGCCATCGCCCATGACTTTAGAGATCTCCGGCACGCTATCCGCGGTACGTCGTCAGGCTCCAGGATTAACCAGACACAATTGGCGGTTGCGGTGAGCCCATGGGCCGTCGCCGTGGCCCTCGGCGCAGTTTCCAGAGGGTCCTGGAGATGCCGTACGGCAGGCCCGGTCTGCAGACGGCCGGCCA